CATATTTCACGTGCACCTCAGAAAGGAGGTAGGTCAGATTCGGAACCCCGTGGGAAGTTGCTCCCACAGTGGGGAGCAGCCACCAGGCCTGAAGGCACTGCAATACCAGGCCGAGGCATGAAGCAGCTGAAGCAAGTTCTGAGGCCCCCTCCCGGCACGTTTTTGTTGTTGCTGTTGTTGTTTTTAAAGTGGTAGAATCTCCATCCTTGGAGGTTAAAGGCCAGATTCAACAAAGCCCTGGTTGGAATGGTTGATGGTCCTGCTTTGAGCAAGGGGGTTAGACTAGATGATCTCCTGGGGTCCCTTCCAACTCTAATCTCCTATGATTTACAAAAAAATTTTAAAAGCATGTGTGGGAGACCATGACTACCATTCCAAGGTGACAGAACAAACTTGATACACGGTCCCAATTTCATTTGTGCTTTAGTAGTTTCAAACACCTAATGCCAATAGTAGTCAATAACAAGTGACATCACAGGAAGACAGCCAGAAGGAATAAAAGGGATATAAAAAAGCATTTCCATCTCTTTTGCTTGTTTACATTTTCACACAGCACTATGATGTGGTCATCCTCCTTTTGGTTTTCAGAATAGATATAGGTTCTCTACCTCAATTCCACTCTTTAAAAATGACCTGCATGCCACAAGCCAAATACACGGTCTCATTTTCACTTGCTAGGATATAATGGCAGGGGCAGCATTACTCTTTTCTACAGCTGTCAGCCTCAGAGTTACATATTTCTTTAAGGGTATATTTCTTCTCCAAGTACTGCATTCCCCAAGGATGACATCAGAATTGAACAAAGATAACACATGCAATAGATACATGCAAGAGATTTAGGCCACATGCAAACATTGTCTCTACTAGGAGAGTTGCTTTTCTTCCAGTAGAAACCAGGAGTGTACAGATGCTCAAGATTTCTTCCACACCAAAAATGGCTGCTTCAGGAAAAAAATAACCCCAGAACAACCAGGGCTAAATGGCACCCAGGAGTTTCTCCCAAGAGACCAAACTTCTGTCCATGTACCTTCTGAGAGAAGCTACAGCATAGTGCTCTAGTTTTACAGCATGCTTTCCTCCCTTCTACCCCCGCTCACCTGATGAGTCCCAGAAAACAGTGCATCACTCAGACTGGACTCTACTGCTTCAGCCAAGGAGGGAACCCCTTCACAATCTCCATATTGTGCTGCAGGGAGACTGGCTGACCTAGACTGCGTCACAGGCTATCAGAGCTGTCCTGTGTATGACTCTCATGTGTTACCAGGCAGGCTGGGGAGCTTACATAACATGCCAAGATGCGTGAACAGGGGTCCCCTGGCTACACAATTGCTTGGCATTTGAATATCTGTTTGAGATCTCTGTGTAAGTTTTTCCACTAGAAACCAACCCCCCCCCCCCCCCCCCCCCGACCACCACTCC